TGGAGACAGCACTTGATGTGTGGGCATTTGGTGTTAGGAAGCGGTTCAGACTGGAGCACTCCCTGTGGAGAGAATGTCCCTGAATAACATAGCAGAAGCCACTTGGAGGGCCTGTGAAGTCACCTGATGTGCAGAGGATTGCGGGACAAGTTTGTTTGTCCTCTCCTAAGAGAAAGAAATAGGTTGTAAATGTGAACTGTGACAGGAAGGCAAGTCTGTCCCTGGGCATCAGATCTGTGTCAGGATGGGGGAGACAGCTGCCAAAGTCCAGTGATGTGGGAGCAGGAGGCCTTTTCAACATTTGGCCTCATCTTGATGGTGAGCCTCCGGATCAGAAATGCATTGACTGGTGGATCAGGAAACCATGCCAGGCTGTTTCATTACAGAGAAAACATGAGAGCTTTCAGTAGAACAGGGACCCACACACAGACATTCATGTCCCTGTGCACATTGGGCTGACTGTGCTTGCAGAGTGTGAAACGGGAAATATCTGAACGAACACATCTGTACTTGCAGAAAATGACCAAGATGAGGATAAAGATGTTCATGTCGCAGAGGCTGAGCAAAGACAGGAGTCACGTGTCCCCAGGTAACGCTGAATAATCAGGAGCAAGTAGTGGTTGGGAAAGTATGGAAAAGTTCTAGAATCTCACCCTCTCTGGCATCTCCCATGGGCCAAAAGCCTCCATTCCCTTGGCAACAATACATTCAGTTCAACCCAACTTAGACTGAGGGTGTGGCAGCTGTTGTGGTTGTTTGTATGTGCTGCGTGCCGTGTCTGAATTATGCAGGGATAACTGAGTCTCTGTTCTTCTCAGCTCCTTTCTGCTCAGTGTGATGAATAGTGGCTGCTCTCTTCCTCTCCGGCTCCCATGGCAGCCATGCTGTGTTGCAGAGAGGAGGATTGCCTGTTTCCTCTCAAAGGGAACCTTGCATTTGCCTTCTGAGAGCCCTCTCTTATTCCTCCTGTGAAAACCAGCCAGGAGTTCCTGGGGTCCAATCCCCCTTTGTTTAATCTTTTGTCATCTCTATATCACCAGGCTCATCAGGGAGGTGCCAAAGGTTGGTGTCAAGAGAGTCCTTGAAGACTCACCGGAGGAATGTGTCATCACTCGTTCAGATAGCTATGGCCCTTCTGACTCCAGCCAGCCTCACGGAAACACCAATGAAATCACATTTCAGGAAGACAAAGTAAACTCTGCACTGGTTGTCGAGAGTCCATCATCTCATGATGTAGTGGAGGATGCTCTAATCATTCTTTCAGGTGACCCCTACATTCCTTGTTTTTGGTACCTCTGTCTGGGCTGAGGAAGATCAACCCTGAAGACAGGCTCTATACACACAAGTCGGTTTGAATAAAAATGTATGATGTAAAAAAATAAAAACACAGGTATCAGGGAACTTTTATCTCTTCCTCAGCTCATGCCATGCGTTTGTCTCCCAGGCCCAAGTATCAAGTTACCAGACCCCAGGCCGGTGTGACAAACTCATGGTCACCTGAGCACAGGAGGCATACAGTAGGTGTCTGTCAGGTCTCCTAGCTTTGAGTCAGTATCTGTAATCTCCTGTCATTATGTCATCTGTCCCTGAATGATGTTCATGGAGTTTCCATTTCTTTTTAAGGAAACTGGGAGCCTTGCCTATTTATTTGGTTATATTGTTCCCCAGGTTTGACTGCTCCGAGTGTCGGTCTTGATCTCTTTTGAGTCAGCTTGCTTAGCTGCACAGTCACCTTGAAACCAGGATGAAAACATTTCCTCTTTACCTTGCTGATGTGTTTCCGTGACGCAAGGCTCACCCCGGCTCTCCACCCCATCAGTGCAATGGCCGGTCTGATTTTTCTTCGTAGCATCACATAATTGTTTGCTGTTGTTGGGTTGGAGTCTTTTTTTGTCACCCAGGCTGGAGTGCAGTGGCACCATGTTGGCTTACTGCAATCTCCACTTCACGGACTCCAGTGATTCTCCTGCCTCTGCCTCCTGAGTAGCTGGGACCACAGGTGCTCACCACCACATATAGCTAATTTTTGTATTGTTACTAGAGACGAAGTTTCGCCATATTGGCCAGGCTGGTCTTGAACTCCAGACCTTCAATTTTTCACCCTCCTTGTCCTTTGAAATCACGGATTTTGTTTTTTGTTTTTATTGAGATGGAGTTTCCCTTGTTATTCAGGCTGGAGTTGAGTTGCACGATCTCAGGTCAGTGCAACCTCTGCCTCCTGGGTTCAGACGATTGTGCTGCCTCAGCCTCCCGAGTAGCTGAGACTGTAGGTGCGTGCCACCATGCCCAGCTAATTTCTCTGTATTTTTAGTAGAGACAGGCTTTCACCGTGTTAGCCAGGATGGTCCCGATCTCCTGACCTCGTGAAGTGCTCCCCTCGGCCTTTCAGAGTGCTGGGATTACAGGCGTGAGCCACCGTGCCCGGCCCACAGGTTCTTTTTTGTTTGTTTTTGTTTTGTCTTTTTTTATTTCTTCTCCCTAGAGACTGTCACAAATTGTCAGTGCCGACTCTATTGCATGTCATCACGGCGGGGTACTGGGGAAAGTTTTCAATGAGCAATAATCTCATCTCAGATAAAACTCGTTGGCTACGATACTGCCACTGCGCAAAGCTCGCAGATTCTTTTTCAAGCAAGTGTGGTTAGAATTTCCACATTGTCCAGTTTCATGTATAGATGCCTCTGACCATTCAATGACCTTGCTACCTGGTGAGAGAAGTCAGTATTGCAGAAACACTCCCAGAAAATAGTTTGACTACTTTTTGGATATTTTCTGGGAAAAAATTTGGTTTAACATTGCGTAGACTCAGGCAGAGAATATAGCACTATGGTCCACCTGTACAGGGAGATTTCGGCCTGTGCATCTGGAAAGCAGGCTCATCTACTCACCAGGCTTCATCCAGGGCACCCTAGAATCTTCCTGTCAGAATTTGTATTCTTGCCCTGAGAACAATTCTGTGCTTGTGCTATGACTAAACACTGATTTGGTCATACGTGAAGTGTGATTTTCTTAATGTGACCTGCTTTTCTGAATTTGCTTACAAAAGATCGAAAAGATCATGAGGAGGACCGGCAATATGGAGACAGCCAAAATAAACTTCTTATGAGTCAAGCGGCCTACGACATGGGCTGCCGGCTGAAGACAGAAGGTAAGTTCTATAGGTTCACCGTCACAGAAGTGCTGAAGAGTGTTCTGTGTTTTGTCTGAGAAACTGAACACTCTCTTCATCAGAATTTATGTCATTTTCCCGATACTTCTAGGCAAATATAAATTTGTATTTTAACATTTTGTTAAAAACGGATGAGAGAGGCCAAAGCATGTAGCCACTTTTCCACGTCTGCCACACGGTGGGTGTGGGACTCAGGGTAAAATCTCAGCTATTGATTCCTGACACAGGCACAGAACCACCTGTTTTTCTCAGCAAGAGGCTAAATCATGTTGACAGGAATCCTCTGTGTACCACAGAAGATCCTGCAGACAAGTAGCATGTAGTCTGTTGGTCGAAATGTCTGAGGCTCATGAACTGCCATTCAGTTCAGGTTTCTGCTGAGGTCCTGTAGGGAAAGCTCTGTTCTGGGTGTCTTGGGGAAATACAGTGATAGTACACAGTACCTGCTGTGGGAGCTTAAAGAGGACTCTGCTCCTTACATAATCTGATGGGAGGTGGTCTTTGGAGCAAGAGGCAGCATGTGTCCAGTTGTAAAGGACAAAAAGGAAGCTGTGACAGGAGGGCGGTTGTTGGAGTGGAAAGAGCTCTGGATTAAGAATGAA